GTAAGCCGCCCTGAGTCCCCCCAGGGAAAAGGGCGGCCTATAAATAAAAATAAACTCAAACTCAAACAGGGGAGGGCAATTATGATAATTTTATAGCCATGGCTGGCTCTGGAATTCTAGGAGTTGAAGTCCACAGGTTTGTAAAGTTGCCATGGTTGCTCACCCTTGTGTTAGAACATTGGAAACTGAATAAAGGACTTGCAGCAAAAGTTTCAACAATATTGGTTGGAGTGCTTCTAAATTAGGGGACTTTCATATAAACATATAGCATTATTGTGCTAGAAATTCTGCAATGGAATTTCTGTTAATCATGCTAGCATGCTTCTATGAGACAATTCCAGAAGCTTAGAGGAGCACATAACAGAAAAAGAGTGATGTTTCTAAAATGATATATCCTGCCTTTATATAACCTTTTTTTAATTTCCTGTGATTTGTTAAATTTATATCTCACTGTTTGTTCAAGAGTTCAAGTTGTTCACACAATTTCCTGTTTAACGCACATAACTACTCTGGCCGAAAGTTAATCAAGAAGCTTTGGTGTTTAGGATAGATTTGAACTTGGGTCTCTCCCTTCCTCAGCCAATACTTTAACCACTACCCCACACTGTCTGTTTTTTTGTCTTTCTCTCCATCAGTAAAGGCAGGATATGTCAAGATTTCTTGCAATAACAATTAATGTTAATTTCACACTACTGTGGAGATAACACCTTCTGATTCTACACTACTTTTTGGAATGGTCTGAAAAGCTTCAAAAATCTTTCAAGCGATCACCAGCTATTTGTGTTCTCATAAAATCTGTGGTTTGTTGGCACTATATATGTCTTTTCCTGGACTCAGTAAATTTAATTAGACACCAAAATACTACACAATGATTTTTTTCAGTTAACAACCAATCCTTAACATTTGTTTTTTTCTGCTGTCCCTCCTATGACATCTGGGTAATATCATTTGAATTTATTTGACATTTTGCATGAATGCTTTTGGCAGATTTAACTGATTCTATTTTCCTTATTTCAAATGGTTGCTGATCAACCATTGATATATAGTCTCTATAAAGTCATTAAACAAGGACTATATAGTGATATTTTTAAAAAAGCTATTTACCTCATTTCATTTCTTTTTCCCAATTTCTTAACAAACAGGACTCTATTATTTTGACTATAAAGAAGTGAGTTTTTACTTCCATGTAGTTAATTTATCCATTACTACCAGATAAATTATTCTTAGGACTATAGTGGCTTTAATTATCAGATTTTCAATTCTGTAATTGCCTTTTTTATTTTAACATCTATATTCTTTTGGAATAAGAATATTTTCCTTTTGGGGCCTATTTGCTGCTGTTGCTGCTGCTGCTGCTGTTACTACTACTACTGTTGTTGTTATTGTTGTTGTTGTTGTTATTATTATTATTATTATTATTATTATTATTATTATTATTATT